TTTGTCATGTTATGCAGCATTTTGTAGCTCAGCATTGCATCCCTTCGCCTCATTGGTTTGACATTTTTCACAGAGTTTGATAGCTTTTATATCACTTTCATGTTTTCCTTTATCCATATTCTCTCACTACAACATCCAGCATGTATTAAGCAAATACATCAAAAAGCCATTAGGAATCCCTGTGGTGTCAACCAATCCTGACTCCTAGCCTAGCCACTGATATAGGATAACAAATATCATACTAGCATAAGTGTAACTCTTGATCAGGAAACAGTGAGTGCATTTACATGCCCTCAATAATCTGATCATAATCAGATTTCTGCAGTTATCTGATTATTCAAATCGTCATGTAAACGATTTCTTAGATTGGAGTAAGGTCTAGAAATCCAAAGAGAGCTGGACTTTAGCTCAGTAATCAGATTTCTCTGTGCATATGAACCCTTACTCTGATTTCTTTCAGAATTCTCAGTCTGCGCATGTGTAAAAACAGAACACAGTACCAGAAATAAGCAAGCAGCGTTGCTGTGAGGTGGCAGCAAAACACTTTCGGGCAACGCTGAAACCAAACACATCCTTGATGAAAAGATTTAAGTATTCTTCATCTTCTAGATGATGTATGTTCATATTTTTCAGGTAAAGTTGCGCAATGTTAAAAAAAGTCTTATTCTGGCTGTTTGCAAAGCAGAAATGGGATTACTGTTTGACTGAAGTAGCCCTGGAGTATCACATTATCTGATTACTCAAGTGCAGGTAAACACGTTGATCAGATTACTGACAAAATCTGATTTTCTGCAGTTAGCGGATTATTAAGTGCATATAAACACAGTCAGTTATTCTGTCTTTATTCAAAATGAACATGAGTTTTTCATCCTTTCAAGCAGGGAAAAGAAGCCAAATTGAGGTAATGTATCCATATAATAAGGTAGCTGCCTTGTTATCTGTAGCTTTTAGCTTGTCTTCCTTATCTAATGAGCTGTTTCTGTCATTTCAGTAACCCATTCTCTCCATCTTCTGCATTCATCAGCTAACAAAACAAAATTCAGAAAAGCCCTCAAATCCACCCCAAAGCATTTGTAGTTTTTTAAAAGTGCCTCCCACCTTCAAGATACAGCATCAGAAGGGGGTTTAAAGTCTTTAAACAGAGACTACTGTAGCACCGCTGTAGGATGTGAGTAGGCTTGTTTAAAACAGATGTTCTATTTTATCTTTTATACTTTATCTCTTTATGTACACACTTACATGATGTACAGCAACTCACTGAGACTGCAAGTTTGCCGATACGCATCACAACTTAGACAGCAAGTCGTAAGTGTGAAGTAGACAGAGGCCTGGTGTTTAGAGCTCACTGCCATCAACAGACTATATGCTCAACACTGCCCTCTAGTGACGGATGGACTGCATGAGATCCCAGCGTGATGGCCAGTAAAATAGAGCACCTCTCGAGGCATTTGGCCTGGCCGGTGAGAGATGGTTTTCTGTGGGCACTTCATTACTCAGCATGTGTCTCCATCCAGACACCAAGTCCGTTAGGCACTATCGACAGCCCGGTGCTGGCTGACCTTTTGAATGGGGGTCCCGTGGTGAGGGGGTTTTGTGGCGTGTGTGAATGGTAGAGAAGGTTACAGCTTCATCAGCCGTGCGTCTAAGAGGCAGGTTTTTGTTCTGCAGGTTTGTCGTGGCAGGACAGTGCCAGTGTGGGAATCAATGCGGAGCACAATGAGAAGGACGCCACGCAGAGAGGACGGCGGGGTTTTGCGGGGCGTTGCACGCTTACTTAGACAGGCTTATTTTAGAGGCTCCTTTGTGTGGTTTTGGTTGCTCTATTAAGGAATTGTTAGCTGTGGGGTTGTGAAGCTGGAATGGATGCCAATGTCTGAAAAGAGAGAGAGAGAGAGAGAGAGAGAGAGAGAGAGAGAGAGAGAGAGAGAGGTGTCTCTATGCCACTATTTATTTCAGTACCATATTGTTGCTGTCATATCAAAACCATGTAGCTTTTTCATTTATAAGTTGTAATGCTTTTTGAAGACACCATGTACATTGAGTGAGCATTTTATGATGATTGGACCAACAGAAATGGTCCAAAAACATAAAAAAATGTTTTTCCTTGTCCTATAAAATCCCCATTTTGGAGACACGAGGGTCTGTTATGACAGTATTAATACATTCACCTGCACTCAAGCACACATTTGTAAACTCAGTGTTGTTTAATTCTTTGTAGGTCTGTAGTTACAGCAGGGTTACAGCAATTAACCTCTTAAAATCCTAGGTTTATTATATCCTAACCTTGCACACACATTAGCAGCTGACCAGTGTTGGGGCTAATGCAATATAAAGTAACATATTACAGTAATGTGATTATATTTTCCTGCAACAGGTAGTGTAAAGCATTACATTTTAAATGCTTGAAATCACATTACAGCTACTTAATTAGCAAGAATGTCATTACTTGTGTTACTCATATGTCTCCATCAAAGCAACGTTAATTCTGCTTGACATTTTAATAATACAGTTCTTCTATACAGATTATCATTGTTCATAATTTGTGTGCCATAAACACAGTGAATAATCTGTCAAAGCATCAAATCAAACTAATATGAGACTGGAGGATAAAGACGCTTGTTAAAAACAGAGCCCTAAACTTACTTAAACAGGCCAGACTTCATTTCCATTCAGCTTTACATTTCACTCTTTTAGTGTGAGGTTTTCAAACAGCATCAGCCTGTCTATCTATCTATCTATCTATCTATCTATCTATCTATCTATCTATCTATCTATCTATCTATCTATCTATCTATCTATCATCAGATATAACAAACTAACAAAGCATCATTTACATTTAAGTTACGTCAAAACAATCATACTGAAAAAAAGACAGACATCAGAAAGCCAGCTTAAAGCTGTCAGTCACTACTGTGTCAGAGAGGACAGCTCTTCTTCTTTCTTCTTTGCTCGTGCCCTCTATCTCTCTATTCCTCTATCTCTCCTCATCCCTTCCCCTAAACCTCTGTGCTTATCTCACCGTCAAGGAGGGTCACACTCCTTAGAGAGCATTAAGAACAGCCAAGAGATACCCCCCTGCTGTCAGAGAGAGAGAGAGAGAGAGAGAGAGAGAGAGAGAGAAGGAGTAGAGAAGAAGAGAAAAAGATATAAATAATAAAGTATACATAAAACAATAAAGACAGAAAGAAAAATAAAGAAAGTGAGATATAGAGAAGGGAGAAAGAGAGAGAAAGCACAAAGAGAAGAGACAGAGTCAGACAGAGGAGAGATAAAGACAGAAAAGGAAAAAAGAGGAGTGAGAGAAAAACCGAGGTAAAGGAGATAGAACAAATGAGAAAAAGGAGAGAGAGAGAGAGATGGAGAAGGAAAAAGAGGGAGAAAATCAGAATGACAAAGACAGAGAGGTAGAGAGCAAGAAAGAGGAGAGAAGGAATCAGAGAAAAAGTAACAAGGGGAAGAGAGGTAGAAAGAGAAAGAAGAGAAAAGATAGAGAAAAAGAAGAAAGAGAGATAGAAAACGAAGAAACAGAAGAGAAACCAAACGGAAACAAAGAGGAGAAAGCAGAGAAGAGAGAAAGATTGAGAATCAAGACAGAGACAGAGAGAAAGGAGAGAGCAAAAGCAACAAAAGAGATGAGATAGACACACATAGAGAGAGAGAGACACACACAGAGAGAGAGAGAGAGAGAGAGAGAGAGAGAGAGAGAGAGAGAGAGAGAGAGACACTGATTGACTGATGGAGTATCTCATCTCTCTTCAACCCTGAAGCCCTTTCTTGGTCGAGGCCTCACCTGCATTTATACACCCAAAGCTGCCAACATACAACATCCATCAGCAGGAGACGGAGCACACAGGCAGTCCTTCACTCCATCCCCAAAAACGACAAGCGCAGACCAGACAGACACTCAGCTCCCATCATAGGAGTCCATCAGGTGCTGATTGGCCGCACCTGCGTCCACAGCAGCCACAGCTGGGAGTCAACAACGGCATCATTTGAGCCTTCAGATCCATCAGGGCCAGATACGCAACATAGTAATGGTGCATTATTATGCTGTATATCTGACTCTGATGGAGGGGGCACTGGCTGAAAAGAGGGGCTCTCCATGCAGGGGGCAGATTTGTAACAATGATGTGCTCGCGTGCAGCATCACTGGCAGGTGTGCCGACCACCTGCTTACAAATATGTGACCAACTATGACAGTAAAGACGATGAGACTCTGAGCCAGAGGTGATGCATTCTGATAGAAACAGCTGCAGCTTTATCAGACGCCTATGGAGCTCGCGCTGTGCACTGGCACGCGACATTATTCCGTTCACTTCCAGCACTGGTGCTCCTGCAAAGCACATTATTAATAAGCATAAACAGTGTTCAAAGTGAAATTAAAGAAGTTATTAATTTCTATTAGAAAAGCCCCCCATCCTCGCGCCATTCATGACATCGCATATATAGTTAGTATTAGTATGCGCGTGCATGCGTTTTGGTGTGTGGTGAGTGCGCGCGCGTGTATGTGTTTGCATGTGTGCGTCACCGCAGCCCGCGCAGATCGAGAGACGAGTGCGCGCGCTAGAGAGCGAGAAACGAGAACGACCTGAGTGAGAGCAGCAGCAGGACTGCACGCGCAGCACCGGAGCGAGTAACATCACCTGCCGGAGAGCACTAGAGGGGTCGTGTCAGCACGAGGGGGGTATTTTTAATCACGCTGCGGGGATATTTAACAAGCTTAAGGGCAGGGCATTAGCAGCGCGCGCATCCGGACACCGCACGCGGCTCGATGAGTCCAGAAACTCGGGCTTCGGTTTATTCGCGCTTCTGAGTGGAAAAGTGGAAAGTTTTGACCTTCCTTCCTCACGCGCGCCTCGAGAACGCAGGAAAGAGAGAGAGGGAGGGGGAAATAAAGAGAGAACGAGAGACAGAGAGAGAGAAAGAGAGAGAGAGACACACACACATATACACACACACACACACACACACACACACACACACAGAGAGAGAGAGAGAGAGAGAGAGAGAGAGGATCGTCCTCTCGCGCTGGCGTGGGTATTTCCTGCGTAAAGTAGCGTCGCCTAACAGCGGGGTGCGAGACATGGGCACGAGATCCGCGGCTCGCGCCCGCGTGGCGCCTCGGTCACCTCTCGACTGACCACGAGCTGACCTCGCTGCGCCGGTTCGCAGGTCAGTCCAGCTTAGCGCGAGCTACAGGTGTGGTGTCAGATTTGCGCGCGGAGGGGTGCAGCGCTGGAGCTTCGTCGCGCCGTTCGCGCTCATTGTCTTCATCCTCCTCCTCCTCCTCTTCCTCCTCCTCGGATGAGAGATCCGCGTGTGTCCGCGGTCCAGCCGCTCTGAAGGAGCGAAGCGGAGTGTCCGGCGTCCGGTTTTGGATCATTTATGAGGATCGCTAGCCGGGAGCCGCCGGCCGCAGCCCGCAGTCATGCCTATGCACCCCGTCACCTCCACTTTGATGTACCGGGGAATCTGCACCATCCCGGACATCCTCTCATACCGGGCTCCGGTCAACCTGCCTGAAGACGAAGTGGAGGGTGAGTCAACCCGCGGGAGAGTGTTTAGAGCGCGCAGCAGACTGACCAGGGCAGAATTAACACACAGTGTAGAATTATCACCTACTGTTCTGAATGAACACAGTGTAACACAGCACGAGTAGTGTAGAATTAACCATCAGTGTAGAATAAGCATGCTTACTTGACACCTAGAGTGTAGAATTAATACAGGCAACGGTGTAGAATTGGCACTAGAAGTGTAGAATTAAGCCTTTTAGTATAACATAAAAACTTACTATCCTAAACCAACACAAATTAGCACTAATAGTGTGAAATTAGTGCATGAACAGAAAACTTACTATTCTAAATGAACATAAATTAGCAATAACAGCCTAGAATTAGAGCATGAACAGACACCTACAGTGTAGAATTAACATTAACACCTACAGAGTAGAATTAATAATTTAAAGTGTAGACTTATAACACCTACTGTGTAGCCTTATCAGCTACAGCATAGAATTAACCCTCTATTGCATGATGTTGACTCAGGGCAACAAACTAATTTTCCTCGCTTTACAAAAACATTAAACATATTTAAAGACAATGACCAGGTTAACGATAAAGGGAAGAGTTTGAGTAAGTCAATAATATAATATTTTAATATAGAGCATTATTTTGTTATGAGAATTTGCAGAAATATGTTTGTTGCCTAAAGGCAACATTGTGCAACAGTGTAATGGATTTAGCCCATCACCAGCCAGGTCTCACCACTTCAGGGAACACGGCTCTGTATCATTTCTTCTCATTGTTGCACAATGTTGCCTCAAGGCAACATACTCCAGAAGGACCCCTGCACACATTTTTTTTGATGTTTTTGAATTAACAATCAGGTCCATTTTATGCAAGAAAAGTAGTTCAAACATCTAAAAAATGCTCTTTAAGACACTTACTGTGTAGAGTTAACATCTACAACGTGGAATTAAAACACATACTGTGTAGAATTAACAACTACAGCATAGAGTTAACAACTACAGAATCTACAGTGTTCACATTTTCAACATAGAATTAATAAACAGTATCAGATTAATAGACATAGTGTAAAATTACAACTATGTATGTAGAATTCACATCCAGTGTGGAATCTATATCTAAAGTGTAGAATTAACTACATCGATTAACAAATGCTTAATTAGCACTATGTGAATTGAATAAAATGTAGAATTAACACACACAGTGCGTTCGTCTTGCAGTCTTGCGGGCTTAATTTAGGTGAACACTGTTCACGGTGTAGGAGTTCATTCAACTCTATAAGACTGAATTCAGCACTGTTAGTTCAGGGTTTGTTCAGTACTGTGGATTTTGCTGTGCAGTTTGCAGATGTTCAGTGTTTTTTGTCCACTCACCTCATTTTCATGCTGCATAACTGAGTTACATCTGACCGAATCTCACACTAGATGGTTTGAATGTAGGGCACCTGTATCTACTCTGAATGAGCCTGTGCTGTGGGTATGGACTTACTTCTTTGCTTATAGAATGGCAAGACTGTAGTCTATTGACATTTACATACACATAGTCTTTATTTTCTTTGTTGTTGGTGGTCAGCGGTCAGCTGAGCTGTATATTTAAAGTCAGTCTCAAATCAAAATGGACCTTTTTTTACATGGTTAGTTCATGTCTCTGTTTTTTAAGCACCAATACACTGTATCAATATTCTGAACCAATAATATCATGTTTCATCTCTCCCCACCTACTATCAAGCAAAAGTGGAGCTTGGAAATACATCACAGTACAGGAGGAACTTACTCGTATTGACTTTCAGGCTCAGGATTCAGCACCACGGACAGCACCTGTTTAACCTGCACCCAATACGTCCGGCAAAACATGCACAGTTTAATAGACATTGCAACGCTTTTTTTGAGTAACGTAGGATTGTAATGCATTGGAAATACTTTCTTCCACACATATCACCCCAAAAAATCATAAGATAGAAGACGTCTATTGACATTTTGTTTAATTATAGATTGTTAATTGTCATTTCCCTGGTCTGATTAAATTTCTCTTATTTGGGTAAATTGGTTGATTTGGTCTAAGGAACCAGATCCTTTGTATTTCACCATTTAAATCATTTGTTGGCAAAGCAAAGTGGGCTTTTCTGCAGTGATGTATTTCACGCATAAAGCAAAGGGCATTTATATGTTTCTATAATAGCCATAAGTCTATGAGCCTGCCTTTCCTGACACATTGTGTTCTCGTGAAAACACAAGGCGAAAGATCAAAGACACTGATCTCAATTTTCTAAAATGTTTCTGTATTTTTTATCATGAAGAAAACCCATTCATCTGCTGATATAGTGAAAGGTCTAGATCTACACATTAATCCCTCCACCACAGGCAAACACACACACACACACTGAAATCAATTTCAATTCCATTTTTCAACTCTAGTATATTGATTTTTTTCCCCCAGGTTAAAGCAATAATTTGACTGGTTATTGAGTCGATATAATGCCTTTCAGGGCGAGTCAATTTGATACATGTTATGCTTCCATGCGGTGCATTTCTGGACTCCCTTGCTTTTCGTGGCTTGTTGGCACAAACGCGGGCGATTGTGTTCAGAGATGAGCTTAACTGATGAGCATTAGCCTTGACATGTCCCTTAATTTAACCCAAGCCCTATGACTAATGTTGCTGCCAATTCTAAAGCTCACCCTGAATCTAATCATGACCATAAAGCCATTCCAGCACTAATGTTAAAATGAATGGAAAATAGTGCAAAAAGAAAACGTGGTGTGCCATTTGTCCCAGACTGTCCCCTAAGATCGGCAGTTAGAGGAAGTCTTTTTTCAGTCTTTTTTTCTTCATTGGTATCAAGTTAATCATTTTTCAGTGTCAGGAAAAAAAGGCAGAAAACATATTAAACAGAAAATTACACAAAAGACTCAGCGATTAAATATAATATCACATTTGTTCATTCAGTCTTAGAAGTTGGTTGCATTTTCTGCTTCTTACGATCTAAGTAATCCCAAACACACCCAATGATGTTGAGGTCTGGGCGTATTGAGGGGGGGTTGTATTTCTTTTTCTCAGTAAGGGCCTCTCGACAATTACACATCCTTTCAGACCCATAGCACTGAGTTGTCTTCTCATAGTGGAGGGATGGCTGTGGATGTTTTAAGATCTAAAGCAAGGGTGGATCTTGATTTTCTCCTCTCTCTCAAAGCTGAAAGCTTTAAGTGCTGTTTATCTGATGGGGACAGTTTTGGAGGCCTGTCTGGTCTTCACGATTATTAGGAGTCTCGTTTTCTCTGTAGTTTTTAATCATTTTTTGACCTCCAGTTTTGGAAACTCCTGTTTTTTTTTACTCATTTTCCATTGATGTTTTCCTTTCATATGCAAGGGGATTATCTCATATCTAATGTACTCCTAAATATCTTCTGAAAAATGTATAACATACAAAGACCATTCTGAATGCAAATTAGATAAATGATAGTAGTAAATAGTTATTGTAAGTGTCATATGTGAATTTTGGATCAACAGGTTTTTAATTCTTCAGCTAAGCATAGGAAAATGTTTCTAAATTAATATCTGCAGTAATCAGCCATATGATATAAATGCGACCAATAGATTTTAGATAGAAAAGCATTCCTTTAAGTAGCTTCATCCAAAGTGTCTGTCCATATCGTCATGTCCAAAGACAAACAAGTATCTCCAAAATAATAACTTTACAGGAGAGGGCAAAAACCTTCTTTACTTTCAGTGTAAGTCAATGGAAAGAGGTTTTATTCTAAGCAATGTTGGAGCATTTCTATTGGTCCGATCATCATGAAATTTTCATACAACGTAAAGGACAGCATCTGAGCTCAAATTACACAAAAAAATGGACATACATGTTTTATACTGGACAGTGACGATATGTATATACCCATATGCTGTAGATTCCATTCCAAAAATTCTATTTGCCTGTGAATTTGTCTCTACATATACTGCATATATATATATTAATGAGATAAGTGTCAGTGATGGACACTGCAGCCCATCGGCCTAGAAACGGGCGAGTGAGAGGCGCTGAGGTGACAGGCTATTACAGTGGCCAGCGTGAAGAACGAAACCATCCTGTCAGCCTAACACACACACGCACGCCTCTAACACCTGCATCAGGATTCAGCTCCATACAGCCGCAGCCCGTCCCCACATTTGCAAGGCAAATTGTAAACACTGTCAAGAAAGGCCACACACACATACACACGCACCTGAAAACCAGATTAGTCTTGTTTGAAATAAAGGAGTGAGACAGTGGAGGTAAAATACTCTGACATGGAGAAAACCAGTGCTTCTATACACGACAAGCACATGTGACACATATATTTTAATGAATGCTTGTCAAGCACTGACTTTTGGCTCTTTGTGCCACAGAATATTACAGAATATCATCACAACTAGGGCTGCATTCAGAATCACCTGTGTTGAGTCCAGGACAAGCTGAAGTCTATAAACAGATTTGTTCACAAGGGGTTCAAATCTGAGTCAGTGTCTGGGGTTTAAGTCTAAATCGAGTCTGGAGTCGAGTATTCAAGTCTGAGTTGAGTCTCGAGTCTCAGGTTCAAGTCTGAGCCAAATCTCAAACTTATGAGGTTCAATTCTGAGTCTAGTCTTGAGAGTCTGGAGTCCACGTTGATTGTGGAGTCTCTGGGCTGTAAGTCCAAGTTGAGTCTGGAGTTTCCATGTTGAGTATCAAATGTTGAGTATCAAGTCTCTGGGATGCCAGTCTACGTCGTTTTAAGCATAAATTCCTCATGTTGCTCACAGTCTCAAGTCTCTGGGTTTGAGTCCAAATTGAATTTCAAATTTATGAGGTTCAAGTACAAATCGAGTCTTGGGACTCTGGGGTTCAATTCTGAGTCCAAGTTGAGTCTCAAGTCTTCAGTTTCTGGGGTCCTAGTCGATTCTCAAATCTATGAGTTTCAAGTCTGATTGGAGTCAATGGAATGAGAGTCCGAATCAACTCTCAGTGCACTGGGGTCAAGTCAAGTCTTGATTGTCTGG